CGAGCACATGGAGAAGCGGGCCGGGCTGTCGGGGTACGAGGTCTGCTCCTCCGACACTGCGGCCCGGGTGAAGTTCTCCGACAGGACGAGCCGCCGGTGGGCAGTCCTGAGGTCCAGGGTGAGAACCGTGGCATCTGGGAGAAGCAGGAGAAGGCAAACCTCATGACCTCTGGCAGCGCTGAGGGAACCCAGGTCAGGGGTGAATCTGTCTACCTCATTCAGCCCTTGGATTAAATTCCTAATGAGAATTTAGGGCGCCTTGCAGATTAGCTAGTTACAAAGATCGCTGTCAACATGTTGTCAAAGAAATGAGCTGGCGGGAGTGGTGATTGGCTAAATCTGAGGTCGTTCTTACTATACAAACATTAATTGAACATAAATAAAATCTGCTTCTTCAAATTTTAGTCCAAATCTACAGAAATGTTTTTGGTGTCATCGTTTAGGGGAGTATGTAATGTGTAAATGGGGAAAAAAATCAACTTACGCTGCAGAAGATCGCTTCTACGGGCAGCTACAGGGTTGCTGAGTGGAGGGTCCTTCGTCAAATAATCTGCAGAGGAGGACAGTGCAGACGGGGGTAAGTGTTTACTGTGATTTATATCACATGCATGTTCTATATACAGGTAGTCCTCGACTTACAACCACTCGCACTTGCGACAGCCGTCCCCATAATTGTATTACTGTATTGTATATTATTTTCGTGTCCCGGCGTTCGGTCGTAACGTCTAACATTGATGACATCATCAGCCTGCGCGACACCATGCTGCCGCATGTTATCGTTCGGGTGGTCTGCGCGCCAGAAAGTGAGTGTGCTGGCGGTGCCAGCAGGAGAAAACGAAAGCGAATGACAATAGGTTTAGAAATGAAAGTGCACACAGTGGCTGCTCCTCCAGTGATAGTGCCTGCAGGAAGGAGTGGCGTGCAGCCGGCCTGTGGGCAGTGGTGCTCTGGGGCGGGGGAGTGCCCAAGGCCCTATCCCCTGTTTACAGTGCAACTCGCAGAGACCCCACCCTGACAGCGTCTCTCTGTGCGTCAGCTGATTCTGTCCCAGGGGTCGTGAATGGGGCTACAAGCAAGACCTGCCCTTCCGCATGCTCTGTTCCCAGAATACCGTCAACCTGTTTCCTGAAGGATCCGCGAGGGTTACCTTTCAGAGAGTCGTTTCCCACCAGCTGAGGAGGAGGTCCTGGGACAGGAGTCGGTGTTTTTTGGGGCATTTCTCAAAAACAAAAGGAAACGGAGATATAAAACCAAGGTACGACACTACTCCTGCCGAACAGACACAGCTGTGGCTCTGCTCTCACATGGGGAGATCTGCTGAGGCGTGTCGGTGCTCTGTGTGTGTTTGCAGATTTCCAGTCTGAAACTGTTCACAAACAGCTGCCCCTCCTTTCCTGGACAGTGAACTGCACAATCATGCAGACAGAATCGATGAAAAAGAAACGTAGGTCCATCTTGGATTTATGTGTCTTCTTCCGAATGTGTACGGTGAGAGTTTCTCGGACAGGGCCGAGGGTGAACTTACTCTCTTTGGGGCGCGGCGGCAGTGGGGTTTTGCTGGGTTCCTGGATCTTTGCTGCAGGAAAGAGGGAGAGAGAGCTGAGCCGAGTCTGTGGAAGGTCAGACAGGAGCCAGGTTTCCTCCACTATGCAGCTGTGGTGCTGGCAGAGTGAAAGGACAGGGCCCTGGACAGAGGCTGCAGGGCCTCACTGGGATGATGCTTATAAGGAAGATACAACTTCCACACTGGGGTGCGCAAGATGGAAAATTATTTCAGTTTTGGAGTAAAACTTGGTCGTGTGACAGGAGTGAGACAGGAGTGAGACAGGAGTGAGACAGGAGTGAGACAGGAGTGAGACTGGAGTGAGACTGGAGTGAGACTGGGGAGCCGTGTGTCTCAGGATGGATTGGGGTTGAAACTGGGAGTCATGTGTCGGGAGTGACTGGGAGTGAGACTTACTTGGTGGGGGTTTCTTTCCTGGTTTGACTTTCTTTGGACCTTTGATTGGTGTGGGATTTGCATCTAAAGAAAATATAAAAAATAGCAAAGTAAATAACTCTGAGTTCTGCAATGAAGTGTGATCAGCTCCGCCTACAACAGACTTTTTAACGTTGTTTCTCTATCTGCAGATCTGTTCTTGCAGGCATGGGGAATAAAATTCATTAAAAACAGAGATGTTGCTTCCTGAGCTTTATCGGAGTGAATCAGTACAGCAAAAAGCACATCCCAGACAGTCCCCAGAAGAGCAGCAGTATTGCCATGATCTGAGCCACAAGCTGGCTGTCAGGGCTTCTCGACCTGTGGCCCTTCTCAGCCGAGCAGCACTGAGGGAAGGGCAGTGGATTGGAGGCCCAGTCTTATATTAACAGTAGCGAAGCTGCTGAGCTGCCTGGAGTCTTTGCACAGACATGATCCTGACCTCAGAGCTCAGTCCAGACTCTCACCTGGGTCCCCTGGTGCAGGCTTGCTCGGCTGTTTCCCTGCGGAGAAACAGGTCAGCGGTGAGTGTCTCTGAGAGCACCGGCACGCCGCAGTCCGCACGGTGAGCTCTCATGGCAGGAGCCCAGGGTGTGGAAATGTGTGTTCCACCAGACAGAAGTTCGCTTTTGGTTTTTAGATGACATAAACATTTATTATGAGATGTTTCGGTTGTTAGAACTCACCGGTATCAGATGAGGTATCGTCACTCCCTGGTTTGTCTAAGACATTAAAAAAAGTAGAAGTTAAAACTGCGCATAAAAAACAAGTCAAAAGATCAATTCAGTGCTGTCCCCCCCCAGAGGAAGGGAGGGGTTCCCCACTCCAGGGGCTCTGCGCTCCTGCAGACCTGGCCTCAGCAGCTGGGGTCGGCCCTCCACTGGCTGCTCCAGCAGGTCGCCCAGGAAGTGCTTCAGCGCCGCCGCGGCCGTCTGGCAGGACAGCACCTGCTTCGAGTCGATGTGGATCCGGGGTGTGTAGGGGTTAAAGGTCACGACTTTGGGCAGTTCCACCATAGTCTGAAATAGAACAACAATAAACTGAGCAAACAATCAAACACAGGCGCCTCTTCCAGATAGCACAGGGCGAGACGGGGGGGGGGGGATGGGCTGGGCCTGGAAGTGGGAGCAATAAGGAGCCAGAGAATCTGGGATAATAATTCCTGTAGTTCTGCGTTGCAGTTTTCTAAATTTCACGGCTCTTTCCACGGGCTGCTTCTAGCAGGATGAAATCATTTCAAATCACCCTCTTTTGAACACATCAGTCATCTGAATGAAACGCCTTTTCAACACGCATATATATTTACTATCGTTGCTGTTAGATGTTTACAATTTCTCAGTTCAAATTGCCGTGCAGGATCTCCAGACGCAGTGCTGTAAAGCCAGTGGCACGAGGCTGGCGGCCCCACCTGCAGGAAGCTGATCTTGTGCTTCTGTGCCAGCAGGGCCTCCACGCGGCCCTTGGTGCTGGCCATCTCCTCCACGTTCATGCTCATCCTCTGCATCAGGCCCAGGATGCGGGTCTGGGCGCCTTCCTGCTCGTGATCCACAGCCCTCAGGGCCTCTCGCTCATCCTTCTCCAGCATCTCCTTCATCTGCCGGTACAGCTCCGCCAGGACCTTCTTCCTGGACTCCGCGGACTCCTGGACACCAGGAGAAGCCGACAGAGAGAGGAAAAGCTTGGTCATCGCGAGCAAGGCAGGGCCTGAGAGCGGAGGGGACTGCAGGTGTCTGGGACTCCCCGGCCCCTGGGGCCCTTCAGGAAGCAGGTGGACGAGACCCAGGGAGCAGTGAGCCACTCGCAGCCAAACAAGCAAGACTTGCCGAATCTTTCTGATCTTCTCTCGGTGTCTTTAAGCAGCTCTGCATTGAGAAATAACATGATTTGAATTTGTAACTGAATTTATTCGGGCTTGAGCAAGAGGGGATTCGACTCAAAAATTCAAAGGTGCTCAGAGAGCTTGGTGGGCTGTCAGCCAGGGGGACAATCTAAGGACGAGGGGCCGCAGGTGGCGGGCGAGAAGGATGTGTACAGTATCCAGCTCATGGCAGGACACTCCTGTAACATCGGCACACCTCTCTGCCACGTACACGTCTGCAGGCAGGGAGCAGGATTGTTTATCACCTGCACCCTAGAAACGGCTCAGAAACATCCTCCTGAAACTGGTCTCTAGGGAGATGAGTCACGCACCGTCGTGCAGGCTGCGTCACGGCCGAGCACCACCCTCGTGTGCTCTCCAAGACCAACCTCCTGGGCGGCGTGAATATACAGTATATCCAATGACTTCAGTGAAAACTGGTCTGGGACTGATACAGTACAGTGGGATTCCAGGCCCTGACGGCCGGAGTCCAGAATGTTCTCTAGGTCTCGTCACTGAGCGGCAGGGTTCGAGCGGTAGAGGGGCTGAGGCTGTCGAAGAGAAACGCCGAGCTTGGCTGGACAGTGACTGAGCACCAGCCGCCCCACAGGCTCACAGTCCAGCAGAGCCAGTGGAGACAGAGTCCGGCTGTCAGCTGTAGCCTGTATACTCTTCCTCTGCATTGTGGCAACTTGACAGTATTAAACAAGGTGTTACTGCATCAAAATCTGCCCCTGTCCTCTCCCCTCTCCCCTCTGCCCCCTGTCCTCTGCCCCCTGCCCTCTGTCCTCTCCCCTCTGCCCCCTGACCTCTCCCCCCTGTCATCTGCCCCCTGTCCTCTGGCCTCTGCCCCCTGCCCTTAGTCCCCTGTCCTCTGCTCTCTGTCCTCTCCCCCCTGTCCCCTGTCCCCTGTCCTCAGTCACACTCACCCGGACAGAGCTCTGCAGCTCCTTCATCTGTGAAACGACGGTCTGGGTCTTCTCGATCTTCTCATTCAGCAGAGTCAGCTTCTCCGTCAGCTTCGCCTGTGAAGCAGGAGACAGGGCGCGGTGAGGAGGAGGAGGA